GCATGCATGTGTATACCATTTAACTCTGACAAGTTTTCAACAAAAAGGTCTCTAAACTATGATACAATTAATTATTAATAGTAAATGGTTGTTGCTTAAACTTCAAAAAAAACTTCGCAAACATTTTAAAATATATAGAGTAAAACAGGCTGTATCAATTAATCCTAGATGTCTTCCATAATTTATCCATTACCATTTAGTTAAAAGGACAAACAGAAGTTAATAGTAACAAAGTTTGATTTACTACAATGCCGTGGCAGGTGTGTAATGTACACAATTAGAGCATGGCTGTCAAAACAGTCACTAAATCTGATGTACCACCATAACTTTTATAAAGGTCAATGAAATTCAAGATAAAACACCCATATTGTATATCTACCCTCCACATTAAGTTTCTTGATTGATATCTTCTTACAACATGATGTCCACACGCAATCACTGCATTAAACTAAGTCTCTTAAATACCACCAAGTATATTTAGTACAATATCATACTAGCATGAAATATAAAATACAATGTAAGTATGAAATATCAAATACAATGCAAGAAAAAGTGCAAGTATGAAATATTAAATACAATGCAAGCTGAGAAAACCGCATTCGGCAGTAGGACTGGACTGAGGCTTCTGTCTGTTTTTCTAAGGTTATAATCCCAGTCCTATTGACGGGACCATGTGTATAAAGTAACTATCTATCGCAGATATTCTGTGTTATCACATTTATATATACTATGCATTGATTGTTAAATTAACACTAATATTAATTGAGGGTTAATGTACATTTTTTTCGAGCATTAATATCTGTAGAAGTACAAGGACGAATTTAAAGCCCTACGGCACTTCAGTATGTCTGACTGGGCTCCTGCAGATATTTATACACAAACACAAGGTGTTTTAGAGCTATTCTTGCATTAAAGTTTATTTTTAATTCGTTAATTTCATTTTCAGTTATCAGTTTTTCGTATAAAGAAACAATAATTTTCACATGCTAGTGCGATGTCATTTGACAGTCATGTTTTTATAATGAAACTACCACGGGGGTGGGGCATCATTGCAGTGAGCTGTTTTTACAAAGGCGTACTAAAAGTGCAACAACAGTGCATGGTCATGTTAATGCATGCTTTTTCTCCGTTCATGTGCACACAATATATGCAATAATGCAAAATAATGCTCACATAATTGCATTAAATTTCCACCAAATTTTGGATTTCTGTATTGTTCTTTTTTTATTACTAGGTGTATAATTATCCACAAATGTTAGCAAAATGTGTCAAAAAATTATAAACCATCACATTTAATAATGTCCCCAGTAAATCTTCCACCGCTTTATTTCACAGAAAAAGATTTCAAAGTGTGTTAATCTAAAGTACCAGGGGTGTCCATCATGAACAGGTTCAATTATTCTGTTATGAAAATAAACAAAGGTAAAATATTGCCAAAAAACCCAAACAAATTGGTAAGAACAATGAAATGCAGGAACTTGAAAAAACATTATATTAAAAACGCAGGAAATATCTGTAATGTCTGTTTTCATACAGAACCTACTCTCTCAAACAATTTCTTCATGTTACTTAAGTATTATTACTGCATCTGCTTTAAGACAGTAATACAAACTTATATTTTGGTATGGTAAACAGTGCAAAACAAAAGCTAGAACAATAGATAAAATAATAAGAAACAAAAAAAAAAAGTGTTAAGATAATTATGGATACAAATATGTTGAGCTCAAAAATGTTTGAAATGGTAGGACTAACATGCTGATAGGCTTCTTTTGGAAAGTATCATCTCTTTGAATAAAGGTTAAAGCTTGTAAAAATGGATGTTAATGCAAAGAAATTTGTAAACATGACATATTAATTTTGTGAAATACTCCCATTTAAAATATGATAATCAATTACAAAGTGAATGAAATTTTCAGAATAATGAAAATTTACAAAACTGAAAATGACAAATTCATTAAGCTGTCTAAACCATCATACATTGTATTTGAATACAATAAATTCAAGCCTTTGTCCAGTCCAACAAGTTAACAGTGTCTTTAAAGTGTAAATATTCTTCAACATGAGGATGTTATGTCCAATCAAGGTTCTAAAATGGAATTCAAAAATAGATAACTTCCCATCTCTATATAATGATCACAATGATGGGAGAATAGAAAATGCTGTAACCCTAAACCTGCTTCAACAACAACAGATCCTGCCCATGTGACCAGTGTACACCAAATCTGTAACATCTGATCATGGTCAATACTCTTTTTTTTTCCAGTCTGAAATAGGTACCACCAAGTCCATCTTAAAGTATTAGTGTTTTGTTAATTTAACATTACCAAAGAGAAAATACAATTCTAAAAAAATACAAAACCCTGACATAAAATAGCAACCGTATACATATATATACTACATATATTGAATTATATTAACTTACAACCCTGACTATGTTTTATAAGATTTGCAAATAACTGTATTGGCTCTGGCAAGAAAAATGCTATCCACTTCAGTTAGTTACTCCTGCAGGATAGCAATTAAATATTGCCAGCAGTGGCAAATAATAAATTAGAGTAGTGGCATATAATAAACTTCTGTAGTCCATGTAAGCTATTAATATCATATGGCCCATTAAGTCTATAATAATTGTTAAGGTATGTATAGTCATATAGTAAATCTACTCATCACTTATAGTCTATAATTTAAAAACATATCATTATATCATCTCTTAACATCTTCCACAATATGTTACCATTAACAGGTTCAAGGTAAATGTTTTAGGAAAAAACCATTATAAAGTCCCAGAATGTTCAATGTCTTCAATAGAACTCACACTTGCTTAAGTAACAGTATACATATAACATATATTTCAACCTTTCATTTCTAATTGCTTATCTTGCATTCTGTAGAGAAAGCTCTCATGTTATTATTAAAATGTAATGCATACTTTTAGGCATGTTGTGTGACATATCTTATCTATATATATAGCTAACAACAATGTATAACATACCAAAATATTTGATTACAACTGATCACATTATTCACCTGTCTTGAATATCTTATAGTTCAGACAATAGGCCAATAATCTACCTTGATTTGGCTTGTACAACCATTTACCTTTATCTAAATACTAACATAATGATAAGACAGCGGTCCCATACTTCAGCCTTAATATTCATATTGACTTTACTATCATATTGTAAAACATATAGCTTGTCAATGACAATGCAGCATTCCTTATGCTGTATATTGTTGTCATATTCTCTACCTTAACCTATATCAATGTAGAAATTCACTCTCAGACTTTTTAACATTGACACATTACTAGGAAGGAATCATGGTTGTGCAGTTTTAAGGAAATTAAGACATTTTTTCTAAAAGTGATCTGTGATCATGTGTCAACAAATGATAGCCAACTGACCAGTTCTATCGAGGGGTGACTGACCAGTTTGTTCCCTTATTAGTATATGCCACAGATACTTTGTAGCATGTTACAACTACTGAGTAGCAAGAGAAACAAAAATCATTAACAGACCAAAAAGCTTTTTTTATTCATGTAATATGCACAAGTACTCGATCTACCGATGTCATTTTTATAGTGTTCCAACATCAAACCATTTAATGCTATTACATGACAGAGAATTTATAAGAAAATTTAGCTGCATTCTCTCTGCCTTTTTTCAAATAAATACCAAATAATACCTCAAGTGAAATTCTGCTTTCTATAGGCTACAAATTATTTATGTTTTTACATGATATTATGTAAATGTTAAAATTAATGTGTGTTATGTTTTCTATGTGATCAATCACTGCTTGATCTATACAACAATTCACTGACACTAATATATATAATAATAGCTAGTCTCTGACTTTAAACCCGGCAATAAATGAAACAGTCAAATACATTTACTTTAACAAATACTTGTAAATGAATCATCCAATATAAGTTTTATATATAGACTATTCATCCCTTTGTTTGAATGAAAGTGGTCAATACAGGACATGTGTGGGGCGTTCGTGGCCGAGTGGTTAAGGTCGTTGACTTCAAACCACTTGCCCCTCACCTCTGTGGGTTCGAATCCCGACAAGGACTTTGGATTTTTTCATGTGAGGAAGCTATCCAGCTAGCTTACGGAACGTCGGTGGTTCTACTCAGGTACCTGTTCGTGCCTGAAATAATGCACGGAAGGGCACCTGAGGTCTTCCTCCACCAGTAAAGCTGGAATAACGCGATATGACCTCTACTGTGTGATGTGATGTAAAACCCAAAACAAACAAACAGGACATGTGTATTCAGTTTTACAAGAATTATCCTGTGTGATTTAGACCATTAGAAACCAAACTATATGAAGTAAAGATAAAGCATGTTTTAATCTATATCAGTTAATTACTTAGTCAGATGATAAACTTCACCTAGAAATATCTCCCTATTTACCTGCTTCATATGGTGTTTACATAGGTACATTGGATACAATAAGATACAAGCACCTAAGTATAACCACAGAGTGACCTGCTGTGAACTAGCTGGAGAGCTTCCTCACAACAAAGACTTCAAAGTCCCTTGTGGGATTCAAACCAAAGAAGGGAGGGACCAAAGACCTTAACGACACTGCAATGGAAGCTTCAAATCCATAGTGATGTTTTATTTAATGCATGCATACTGAAAGAATGAACTTGCAAAATCAAGGACGTATGATGCACAATTTTCGTGTTTTGTCATTGCATCTTCATCATCATAGTTGTGCATTTCTGTTATCGTACTTTTGTGTTTTTGAACTAAAATTTCATCCTTGTGTGACTTCTTTCACACATACGCCATGACCCTAACAGGAAACTATAGCTTTTATATAATGAATGGGTGAAAACAATCTATAACAGAAAAATTTGATATAAAGGTTCAGCTAGCCAGGAAATTACAATGTTGATTCTTTAGTTTACTGTCACAATATTGGAATGGAGAGACTGCAGAATGACTTTGCCAAATATATAAAACATTGTGATGATCAAACAGCACTCACCTTTATTGTCTTTCAAACTGACTGTTGCCCCATTTTCCAACAAAAGTTCCATAATCTCTGTATGACCCATAAGAGCTGCTTGATGTAGCCCTGACATTCTAAAATAATATACAACAATACATTGGTGTAACCCCCAACATTCTAAATACATATGTATATTATGATAAATAATACATTCACAGAGTTGTTTGGTATAGCCCTGACATTCTAGAATAATAGTTAAAGAGCAGATTGGTGTAGCCTTATCTTACACATTATACTAAATGAATCTTGCCACTTAAAAAATACCTGTCCCATTTGAGTAAAGAATTATGCAAAATAACATATATCATTATGTATATGTTGCACAGAAGATATGAAATCATACTAATCAATGATCCAAATATAAATCTAGAACATCATATTAACAAGAGCAACAGTCAAGTAGGGCCAACGCTTGATGAATATTGTAGATAATTCTAGAAGACATGACTGTCTTCAACAAAATATATAATTTAAATTTCAGACAGATGGGCATAACAATAATCACCAAAATTTTACAGAACTGGTGTATAATAAAACCACTTGTATTACAGAATAATTTTGTCCAAGAATTGACATTTTAAATGAAATCTAAATTCTTTAAAATTAGGAATATAAAAGAACATTACCCATCGCCATCTTGGTAGTTGACATTTACTTTCTTTGTAGAACTTTTGTGCTCTGAAACAAATATATACAACATAAATATTATTATACAATCAACATTTTTTAAAGATATCTTTACATATATAATTATTATATGACTGTACTCTATAAACAACACAGGGACAATAGGTGAATCTGTAATGTTCTTCAGTATGTGTATGTAGATGAGAGGCACCAGGCATCAGCAGATAAAGATCCAGTCTGCTCTATGTAAGATGGCAAGTTTGCAAAGGCTTTGTGTAGCTAGGGAAAACACTGATGTCCTCACTTAAGCCAAGGGAGTGGTTCAACAAAGTAGGCAGGAATGACGTTGAAGGGTACAAGGGTGTGTGAGCCCCTAGTTTGGGTGGCAGCTTCAAGGCTCAGCCCTTTGCTTGGCATCAACAGCTCATATCAACCTGCCTCTTTATAATGCTCATTGACCACTGTACAGTGACCTACTTTCAGGTCAAAATGTGTAACATCTTTTAATGAAGGATGTGAATCATTCAAAGCCTTGATAATGACTGTGTTGACACTTATATACACAGCTAAACTCTGGTATATTCAATCATGTAAAGACTCTCATATCATAAGAAGTATATGTAAGACAGTTTTATATCTATCTATATCTATTTATTATATTTTCATCTTAACAGATCGCTGGTAGTTTTTGTCTTTTGGATAGGTAAGAGTTTGATTTATAATTAGATATGGAAAGCAATAGAATTTTTCCATTAAATCTTTATATAATTTAAATACAAGAACTCTGTGAGTCAGATGTGTCGCCTTGTCAGGTTGGGCTTTTTCTTCTTAAATATACATTATTTATAAACACTGCTCTTGCAATGTAAATGTAACTTTAACTTTAGTGGCATTTGAACTGATTGTCAGGATTAATAAATCTGTTATATTATCAAAAATAAAAAATACCATGGAAAGTTTTACACTGACAGATCAAATGGTGGATTCTTGTGCACTCCACTTAAGGTCAATTTAAATACCAAATTTAAGGACTCAATCAAACTTACAGTGACAATTTAGTTATGGAGAAATGGCCCAGACAAAAATAAAGAATGAAAATTAATAAAGGGCAATAACTCCAAAAATATGAAGTGCAGAGTAACGATTCTTGTGCACTAACACTTTGAATTATTGAAAAAAAGCAAGCATACCAAGTCTGGAGTCAATCTGACTTATAGTGACTAAGTTATGCTTCGGACAAGCCTAAGTGGTGCGCTGCAGACGCCGCCAACAAGTAACCCTTAGCCTATGAATATGTCGCCTTTTTTCAAGGGGACACAATAATATATAACCTATTTATAGAATAAAAGTGACAAAGATCATCAATATATGATTTATATTCATGAGAAAGTTCACTGTTACAGTTTCTATAAGTCAACATTATCAACAACTATCAGTATATCAGAGATATATAACTCCAAACTTGTTGCTTCATTGGTCATTTACTATAACTTTCCTAACTTTGTTACTCAAATATATCCAAATTATAACCAAAATAAGACAGTTCAAACATCCTAGCCTGATCTATCACTCTCCTTGTATGGCTAAGAAATAGGGGGAAATATATATCTATATATACCTTTTAGAGAAGGAGCTCAATTTTGGCCCGAATTTTGCCCTAAAAAGCTATTTAACCATATAAACACTATCTTTTAAAAGTAGTGTTCTTATACAACAAGTAATAATAAGATGATAGTCTGTGAGCAATTTACATGAATTTTCAAATTTAGGAATTCTGATTTGACAATAATGTAAGGAAAAGGCTATAAAAAGAACAGTTTAATAAGAAATCTGTTTGTGTTTAAAATGTACAGAAAAAATATTAAAAGTCTTAACCCATTACCCGATGAGCATTTTGTGAAAAATGGCTGTTTTCATTGAAAAGTCTCCTGTTACAAGTTCAAATTGCTATAATACTATAAAAACTGCTTCAATACTAATCAAACTTGGCACAAATGTTGACTGGACCATTGCCTTTGTAACAACATGCTCAGTCTGAAATTTTCTGTTACCATGGCAACTAGGGGACATCTCAAAATTGCCAAAAATCACTATTTTGCATTGATTTTTTCCATCAAAATTGATTTCAAAGTGCTGCCACTTCTCAATGGATCGAGATAGAGTCAAAGGCTTTTCAGCATTGGTTACACGTTACCTTATGATCGACCTGGGGCCATTTTTAGCCTCCCACAAGTCCAAAATTTTCTTGGCGATGAGGGGGACTCCGCCCCCCTTCAAACCCCCCAACTGATGTATCTTTTGGATGGGGGGCCGCGCCGAAAAAGTGGTCAATTTTTTAAACAACATTTCTCAAACAAAAACAAGTGTTTTGGGGCCTTAAAAAGGCATTTTTTCACCATTTGAGGAAGCAAAAAGGGGGGGGGGGTGAAAAAGGCGTAGAAAGGCGTATATATCTGGTAATGGGTTAATAGTGTCTTAAGAATATGAACTGTCTACAAATTTGTGAAAAATAAATAAAGGTTTCAATAAAATCTTATTGAAACATTCATATTTATAAAAGTCAGTTTTCAATATATAACTAAATCTCCTTCATTTCCAGACATTTATTAAAATCATACAAACAATAAATCATTTTTAATGACTAGAAAATCTTTGGAAAACAAGCAAAATAATTAGGTTCATTGGTCTCAGCTGTAAACTTCTGTTTTTCTTCACAACTTCCTTCAAATATCTGGTGGTTCAAAAAATCATTTACCAGATTCTGATGGAAAAGTACCCTTTATAGAAACTAATAGACTGTGTTATTAGATATCAAACACCAATGTTTATATAATATATAAACATGATTATATAATGTTAGTATAACCAGTCCTAATCATATCAAGAAATGGACCAAGTCAGTTGATAAGATCAATCAATAGTTAGGAGGCATTATTCAATATCTTAATTCAAAAACAAACTGTAAACTAGACTGGGCGTTTAAGCTCAAACTGTAATCAAACAAGTATATATATACATCAACTTATAAATTAAATATGCAATCATTGCTATTTTCCTATTAACAATAATTATAGGAGTTCTCTGAAGGTAGGTTTTGGTATAAAATTATGAATGTTTTTGTGCTATCTGACTCTTGATTAAATCTGTAAAAAAACCCTATGTGATTCTTCCAGGGCAATGTTAGGGGACATTTAAAAAGACCTAATGTAATTCTTTTACAGACAATGGAAATATTAGCCCTGTGACATTTAAAGTCTCTGAATTAAAACTATATACATGAGATTCTAAGATGACAGAAAAACTCCTTTTACTGACCTTAGTACAGGTGATAATGTATTTTTTCAAGCCTAAAGAACAACAGAGCTAACATCAGAAGGTAGCACTTGGATGTTTTTAAATATAGATTATCATATAATACTTAAATATATACTTTTAAAGCTAGCAAAAAGTAAACAACTAGAATACCTTGCACTTGCTATCAGCAAGTTCACTTAGGTGTATATATACTATATAGTATATTAATATGCTATCAAGAATTCTAAATTAAAATCCCAATTAATCTTGTGTTTAGGAAACATCACACAAGAATAGATATAGGTAAATATTCTGGCTTCAGTTATCTATTAATGGTGATTATACCTAACAGTATTTAGTAAAATAATAAAGAACATCTATCGGATTCCAGGGCATATTTTATTGCCTGATTTCTTTTCTGTTTTTACACATCACACACCAACATGATTCAAACACTGGTAACAGATGGTTTATATCAGATGTATATAATACTACCTGGAATTTACTTTCTCTTGCCCTATCCAATTTACTTGTATTTTTCATGTTAATCAAGAAAGAAACTTAATACACCCAGGGGATAAAACATATGCTCCTTGTCTCCTAGTCAAACCAGGGAAATTTCTGCTGAAAATTTATTTCTAACTATTATATTGACATATATTTTGTGGTTCAAGCATCCTTGCTGTTAAAAAAGTAATGATGCCTTCCCCACATTGCTGCCCTTTATGAAGTAGAGTGGTTCCTTAAAGAATTGTTTCTTGTTATAAATTACCAATTGATGAAAACTTTTGAAATTTTATCATGGATACCAAAATAAAAAGCAATAATTAAAAAAAAAAAAAAAATTTATACATTGAAAAAAAAAATAACAACCATCACATATCAGCAATTCAAAACAAAATGATAAAACTGGTCAAACTGAACGCAATAAATTAATAAAGCCAATAAATCAAAGCTGTGTTATAAACATACAATTATTTACTTGTAAAGTTGAATGGCTGATAATATAAAAGATATGGACATATATAATTCCTCAAAACATTTTTTGCCGATGGGTTTTAAAATCATTCAACAGTTTTTGCATTATTTAGAATGTAGTTCACTGAGTTCCGTATAGGTACGGAAAACATGTCATGTGATCTAATTTTATTTTTTTGTTTGTTTTGGGTTTTACGTCACATCGGCACAGTATAGGTCATATCGCGACGTTCCAGCTTTACTGGTGGAGGAAGACCTCAGGTGCCCTAATCCGTGCATTATTTCAGACACGAACAGGTACCTGAGTAGAACAATAATAATAAAAATAATAATAATGACGTATAAGTGAAAGCAAGTTTGTCTGAGAATTTCAGATTTGGTAACAAAACTACGAAGAGTTGAGAGGATAAAGTAATATGCGAACTTTTAAAAATCTATTTCGTTCAGAAATGAATTTGTAAAGAAACAATAAAATGAAACTAAACTGATGTTGATGAAATCAGCAATTTAAACATGGGTGTTCCCAAATCATAGGTGAACAACCATGCATTTAGCTAGATATAATATTGGTATAATATTGGTTTAAAACTTCATATATGCCATATAATTGTACACAGGTAAATTAGTATATATATTTTTTCATGACTATAATGCTTTCATATAGTTGACCAAAGTTATCACTTTATAGGCTTTATATGAAATATAGCAAACAGCAATTATTAGAATTGTCATTATTTTAATATTGGTATACTGGGTCACCCGATCAGGTCATGAATACATGCTTACTGTCAAACAGGCACTTTAGTCTGTACAAGCAAAAAGTTGCAGTTTTCCACCATAAATAATTTTTTGAGCTCATATAACCAATAATCACTTACAGAATGAAGAAATGATCAAACAGGTACAAGGGTAATCAGATACAATGGAGGTTAAATTTCAAAAAGCTATTGATTTAGCCAATTGATTGTTAAACTTGTTAACATTACTGGAGACTAGTAGGCTATATGCAGAAAAATAATACTAACTAATGTCTATGAAAATAAATGAATAAACAATTAGCAATTTAGTTAAAAGGTAACATACAAATGTATAGTAATTTTGAAACAATGTTCCATAATTATATAAATAAACAAAGATAACCATGTTGATTGCATAAAAGGTATTTTCTAAAGGCAGTTATTACTGTGGATATGAGATTGAGCTACAAGGATTCAATCTATGGCAATTTTCAGTTATAAAATTTATTCATGAGAAAAATGAAGTGCTTTATAGTGTGAAAGAATTAACTAAATAACTTTAAAATATATTTAGCTTACTTAAACAATGGGACTTTTTCAATGTATACAAAAAGTGCAACTAAATTTATAAATAATAATGCTCCCTTACCTGATTTTAAAAACATTGTCAGACAATAGTATGTCATATTTCTAATCAAAAATTATCCTTCAAAAATCATAAAATATTCTGCTTCTACAATTCAATAAACAATGAGATATCCTTGTATATATCATCAATGACAGAGACAGGTTTTCACCCTGCATTATAACATTAAGAAAGGCGTGCACCATCATATAATTAAGTTATCAAACACAATAATTTGTACAAGATAATTTAAGCTCATTAACCAATTACAGATTTCATTTAACATTTGCATTTATTTCCATCAACAATATCAAGGTCTTTATCATGACAAATGTTATATCTTGAACACACAGACTAATTGATTAATTTACCATTCAGAAGCACCATTGAAGCCCCTAGGTCATTTGTAACATCTGAGTCCCAACTTTTAGAATGATTCAGGGCCTGTGATTGTGTGCTGCCTGGGGAGGGTCGGGCTGGGGATAGTATTTGATCTTCCTGCTGTCAAAGCACTACATGCTCTTATAAACTTTGAGCAAAAATAGTCAGTTATTTATCACAGGGGTACGTCACATTGGCCATGCCAATAATGGTAAAATTATCATAAAATAATCACCCCTTGATCATCAAGAACAAAATTTCTATCCAGCACACTAGCATTAATTTTGTTGGTATTTCAAACAGACGTGTAATATTTTACACAGTACGATAAGTTAATGAGATTTTTTACTTGAATTCTTGCTTTGTTTCTAGCAGAATACTATTACACTTAGTAAATTTTGCTTCAAATGTTTCACTTAGAACCCCATAAGTCGCTTTAATGGTGTAGAAATGACCTGAATGTTTTGCTAACAACCCAGTATCTCCTGAAATGGGTAAAATTAGAATATGTGTTTTCTTATTTATTATGAAAAATTGAAATAAATTTTATGTATATCTACATGTAGCGGGTGCTGGATAGTAATTTTGTTCTTGATGATCAAGGGGATATTATTTTATGATAATTTTACCATTATTGGGATGGCAAATGTGCTGTAAGCCTGTGTGATTTATAGCCAAAATCCACCGAGAGAAATTGGCGTAAATTTAACCAATTAGATTGTCCGGACTCCCTTTTACTAAACCACACAGGGCTTTGCTTGGTCACAGCTTAATTACTTATTCTCTATGGCAAAGTTCAAATGATTTATGCTTGAAGAAAATAAATGCATACGATAGTAAGATTGTATTCATGAAATGTTAATGTTTGCTTATAATAAATTAGTCAAAATATATTGATGTGCCAAAGCTTGATAATCTGAGATATTTTCGTTCTGGGGCAGAATCTCCCTTTAAGAGGCAAGATATTGCCCAGACACGAAAATAGCACAATATCTTGTTGTGCAGTACAATTAGTTGAACTAATAAAAAATATGCCCTCCCATCTTTATCTGTTTATACATACTCTACAGATTTTTAATATGAATTAAAAGTAAGAGACAAAGCTTGTTAAAAATATTCATCTAGTCACAATTTCAAACAATTTAATAAATACCAGGTCATGCAAATCTTTTAACACAGATACATGTATGTTCTTAAGTATAAAATGTTCAACAAAATAAAGATGGATTTATGTACTTTAGCCTGGCCCTATGTAAACTTGTTATATCTGACAATTCAGTGTCTTTAACAAACCAGAGAAATTAATTTACAGTGTCAGTCCACATATATCATACAGTTATAGGTGTATCCCACCATCCATACGTGTTCCAACAATGGACAATTATGTAAAGTTCCCCAGGCTAATAAATATCAGGTCACTAAGTTAATCACTTCATGCAAACATGTGTAATTGAATATGGCTATAATTGTACCATGATACTTACTTAATTTGGATGAAGATCTGTGAGATTTTTGTAACAGTTTAGTCAAGAAATTAACATCTCGATTGCGAACTGCTAAAATTACATCTTGGTCCTTCCCCATGATCGGCGGTTTAATGTGTCAACTATCCGAACATACTTCAACTAACTGTATATACCGATCACCATTTTCAACATTTAATTAAATTTTTTCTTCAAATAGAATTTAACATGAAATTCTTCAACACAAATAATTAAACAGCACAGATATTTATCCAATATAGCTCTACTCCCAAATGTAAAATCAATATCTATCGCACAAACGCACTAGAATACAATAATATACACTATTTCATAAACAGTGTGCACCTGGCCATAACACCCTCTAGGTAAACAATGTACATTACCTGCGCGTGCGTAGACACTCAACCAATCAGAATATACGGTCGGATTTTGCCAGCCAATGTGATATCATACAGCGAATGTGGCGGGAAAATCAGTCTCGGCAACATGGCTTTCACTGTTGCAAATAAATTGAAGATAAACTTTATCACTTTGACCCAAATCAATTTTATTGCAAAGCAGGTTGTGATGAAATAATTAAGTTTATGTTAATTTCAACCTACTTATATCATAAAAAGACCGATTAAATGCCGTGTCTTAGACTGCAAATGCTTTTAAAACCTTAACAAATAGTAGATTCTAACTGATTTTTTTGTAAATGGCCAGACTTCAATGCTTCTACACTGGTACTTTTTTAATCTAGGTAGAGCTATATACACGTTAATCTACTTAAAAGGGAAAAAATATTTGATACAAAAACATTTATGAATATTTCAATGCACTTAAACAGGTCAAGCAAAAAGGCAAACCAAAACCCTTGGTGTTTCGTACGCCGTAACATAAAGATACACTAAGAATTCATTAAGTTACAGCATCGATCACAACTAAAGAAGTTAAAATCAAATTGAACAGATATAAGCTGTTCAAAGAAGATCAAAGCTGACTCAGGACCCACACCCAAAGTTACTCAGGTGCTGAGTCTATAAAGCAGCACACTTCCAGATTCATACTAATTTTCATGAAAATTTGAAAACGCATTTAACAGTATAATATTGTAAAGTTACCAAAAGAATGCAATTTACACATTATCAATGGCACTTACAACCTATGTTAATTACTATAAAGAGGTCAAAATATGCAAAAATAGCCCTTCCTGCGTCAGTAACCCAGTAGAAATATAGTTATACATACTGAAAAATTCGGTCATTAATCGCACATAACATGTAAATTTTTACTAGAATTTTGAATCTTTATACCTTTCCTAAAATCTAAGTACATTTTTCTCAGGTTTGAATTTATTGAAATATTTTTGCTCATCTGGAGGCGTGCAACTTTAAATGACATTAACTCGATCTTCCTCGTATTGACTAGGACTCCCTAAGAAGATTATCTTACTAATGCTGAGCTATACGTTAATCAAAGATCAGAATGACCGCTATATTGATAGATAAATAGAAAGACAGAGTCACAGACTGACAGACAGACATCTCATGGTATTAAACGGAGTCGTGTTCGACATACCTATTCGAGTTGCTCCCCTTTCATAACACATTAAACGCTTGATTGTATTTAATAAAATTGTCACAGATAACCAACATATCAACATATCTGCGGATTTTTTTAAAATTAAAATTTCACCATTTGCGTCTTTACATGCTGAATTCTGCTAAAGCTGGTGCTAGGGGTCGTGGAGGGTAATTTACACTTTTCAGTGCTGTCAGTAAACAGGCTCACTCAAACCGGGCCTTAACATTTTTAATTTTGTCATTCGGCTGTTATTTTAGGGATTCAACTTATACAATGCCTAGGAGTCAATATTGTAAAGAAAACAAAACAAAACAAACAAAAATAATAAAAAGTTAAGGTCTCAGAAAGTCCGCGTAGCATAGGCTCTAGTCCGCCCTCTGAATGTATATAAAGTTTACTTTTTTTGTAAAAATACACCATTTTCTAGGAACCACCATCAACTACCCGTTTGTCTGATTTCAATGAAGAAATGGCTGTTGAAACAGTCTGAAGGATGATGTTTACAGCTATGTATGGAACCTTATGCTCACCCAAGAAATTAGATATAAGCAATCGGTCCAGTCTGATTGCATATAAAGTCAATGGTACATTATTTTCAAAAAATCACCGTTATCTATAGATTGTCCAAATACAACAAAATAAATGACTGCTGTAATAACCTGAAGACTGATATTTACAGTAATGTATGGCACATTCGGCTCGCCAAAAGAATAACATTTGAAAAACAAGACCAACAAGGAAGGACGCAATGAACGCACCGAGTGGGCTGGCTAATCAAAATGAAATGATATGTATTTTGAATTCATTAGAAATGCCTGAAGTTAGGATTAAACAAGAAAATAGATACATTATATAGATGAATATAATTAAGGACTAATAAATATGTAAAAAATGTTAATATTTAAATTAAAATGTTTCTATCAGATGAAAAATATTGAAGATAGAGTTACCAATTTACCAAATTTTTTTAAAGATCCTGTTTTCAAAGTTTCTCTAAATTAAAAAAAAATAAATTGGGTACTCTTGTAAAATACTTAATAATTTGATTTTTACACTTAGAAAATATCCAGTTCAATACATTGTATTTGTTATCAGATTTAGCATTATTTAGCCAATAAATACCTATATTAAAGATCCTGTTACTCAATATTTTTATGGTTTTATATCATAAATATAATGCTCAAAACATTTATCAATATTGTAAGTTCCAAAAAGCATTATTTGTAAAGATATTACCGAATTTACATTTCATGTTAATAAAAGATATTTATTTTCTATAAATATATTTTCTATAAAGTCTAAGTCAAATTTTTCAATAAGAAATAAATGTATATAATTTTTTAATGATTAAACATATAATGTGAAGAGATATTTGCAGTCAATATTTTACATATTCTTCGATGTTGAAAATTGTTTTAGAAGCATAATAAAAATACATATAAATGTGGTTACAACTTCAATTACAACTTACAGGATCTTTAATTTGATAATCAAAATTAAACACTTTTTCTTCTCATAAATGAATGAATGAAAGATCGTAAATAATGATTAAAGGAATAAAGAAATAAATAAGATGTTTTTTTTTCTGGGTTTTGGACAGTAGTTTTAGCCTATTTAATACACTTCAAAGAGGAGGTAATGCATTAGGATGGTCAATATGGTCAAAATAAGGAAATTCTTCATGCAATTTATTTGTAGATGGCCTACAATGCAAAACTTTGGAACACTTATAATAAATATTATATAACCTGAATTAGCATTTGTTGTATGATTTCAAACAAAGGGCACACTTCAAGATCTTGGCATTTTATTACATATGTTACATTGTAAATATAACTAATGCTGACTAGTAAAAGGGAGATAACCACAACAAGATTTGTTATGATCCTTACGACGGTTATTTCATCTTATTATGATAGTATTTGATTTAAACGTTGTCTTATAACAAGTATTTATCAAATATATGCCAGCTTGCAATAATGTTTTTTCTTGTTATATTAAAGCTCTTATTGATAAATTCTGTTGAAATGCTTTAATACTATTAAACTTCAGAATACACTTAGGGTAATAAAATGATTCTGCATGTTTTCGCTTTAAATTACAGTTTATTTGAACTGTTTGACTTTGAAT